TCACTTACTCATGCTACTTAAAAAAAAAAAAAAAAAACATACCTTTAATGAAGGACTAGGATCATCAGCACTTGGTCTACCATTTATTAGTGAAGTATGAATCTAAAGAAACATATAAGTATATGTAATAAATCAGACTATTTATGAAGCATTTCAATATTTATTTTCAAAATATAATTAATAATAAATACAATTTTAACTAAAAAAACAAAATTTTAATAAAAAATATACAATATAATTAACATTATGATGTATAAAAAGCATAATGTTAATTATAAAAGCACTTTCATAAAGTTATTTCTAGCTTCTTCTGTTTTAATGAAAGCAAAGAAGAAAACTCCAAATAACATTGTTAAGTTTTTGTTAGAAAGTTGCAAATATAACCTTTAATCTTGGAATCATCACACCCTCTACTCTACTGTCTGAGCATTGACCTAATTTGTGTGAACCCTGTTAAGGGTGCAGTTGTCCATTTGTTCTTAATATAGAATAAATGTGTGTTGTGTTCTTACATCCATCTTTGTTGTCCTTTTTTCTCTTTGTTTTACCTTGACACAATATCTTTCATCAAATTCATATCCTTACAATTTTAAACATCAAGTAATGCTTTTGGATTATAAGCAATATTCATAATAGCACACAAAAAAATTAATTAAACAATTTCAAACTAAATAAAACATAAAATTATGAAAACAAGAATTTCATGTAAAAAAAAGCATATGTTTTGTTTAGTTTTAAATTATTTAATTTATAATTTGTGTGCATGATGTCTAAAATGTAAACAGTTTTTTTTGGAATTTTCTTCTTTGTCATTTGATTAAAACTGATGAAATGAAAAGTAACTGAGCAAAAGCTTTTACACATTCAATGTAATATTTTTAATGCAATGTAAGTTTGTTTTAATGTAATTAACATTAAGCTATATTTTTCATTTTGTAACTTATTTCACAAACATCAGTTAAATTTTTGAAAACTTTCAGTTTTCAAAAATTCAATCAATATGAAAATTTAGATCCAATATATATTTTCAGCAGAATTATTAAATGAAAAATTAATACATGCAAAAAATATAATAATCTTGAAATCATGATAAATTAATATTACCATTATCATGTAAATCATAATTAATAAAAACCACTGAATATTAATTTATTTCTTATATTGGGTTTATATTAATTAAATCTCTTTTAAGTTTATATATATATTTTTTTCTTCTAATATAAATTACACATAACTTTGTGAAATAAAATTATAAGTCTTTGAATAATATTTTTAGAAATGCCTATTTATTCAGTCTATATTAATATAAAAGAAATATATTGTACACCAAATGCACGTAACAGATATAAAGAAATGTTAAAACACATACAAATATTTTCATTATTTTCCAAAAATATCTTTGTCAAAAATTAATTATTAATAATTTCCAACAACATCATTTATGAAAATAATTAAAATATTTGAGTGTATTTAATAAATTAGTTTTTGTTTAATTCTTTAATAGTTATATTTCATTGTCTTAAAATACTGTTCTCTTTCTTTTTTGTTCCTATATTAAAATATTAGATAATTTTATTTAAAAAGCATAATAATAAATACTATTATAATGAATTTCACTTAAAAATATTTTTTCAGTTAACTATTTTTTTCCATTGTTTAATGAATATCTTATAGAAGACAAAAAAGGACTTACATTTTATTAGAATATACTGTGTATTACAATAATTTGTGGAAATCCAAACAGCTTGGGAACAAGATGAATCTGGATTTTTGAATTTTCTGTATGTAAAATGATAAATTAAATTAATAAATCAGCAATAATGTCTAAATTTTTGAGAATTGACTGCAGTAGTTTTCAAAGGGATAAATACTTTACAAATTTAGCATTAATTTTTTTAATAAAAGAAACACTTGACAGACAAAGGAAAAAAGAAAAGTGTCTTAAAAAAAACTAAATATATCTGACAGCAAACAACTGTAATTATTGATTGAAAATGTCTGTTAAACAAGTAGAGAGAATTGAAAACAACAGCTATAACTAATATTGATTTAACTGAAATTAGAAACAAATGAGCTAGAAGAACATAGTACTAGTATCCCTGATAATATGTATAATTTATAATTGAAATACTATGACAGTAAGAAAGCAGAAATACTATTGACTTGATATAAATATTTCCAAAATATCAATATTTTACAATAGATAATTTTAGAAATTTAATATAACAGAATCTAAATGAGAGTTTTATTAGATCAAAAATGTTATTTATTAAACTTTTTTATATGAGTAAATTCTTCTTAGATTCATATTATTATTTTTTTTACAATGAATGTTTTCATATTTAAAAAAATAAAACTGTGAACAAAAATAGTGTTGAATTAAATGATATTAAGAGTAACATAAAATATAAATTTAAAAATCAGCATTTATTATCTAAATAATAGTCATAAAATTTATATATTTCATATATAAAGAAGTATATGCAATTGCCAATCATTCTATAATTTTTAACTAATTTACTTAATTTATTTAATTTTATATTGTTTCTAATAATTGTTATTTAAATAAGAAAAAATTTAATAATTTTAAATAATTTTGTAAGATTTTTTATGGATTAAATCAAAATAAAGCATTGTAAGAAACTTATCTAATTAAAAACTTATAGATTGTAATCTTCATAAGATGGAAATTATGGACAGCAATCTCCTGTGACATTTTAAATGATTTTGTGATAAAAATCAAATCTTTTTACCAGCAATAAGAATTTAGTGAACAAGTATGTTTGAACCTCATAGCATCAACTTCAGGTTACACAAAGATCGACCTCATAAAAAAATTTTAAATGGAATAAATTACTCCATTCCAAATTTTTTATCAAAAGTTCAATCTTCATGTAACCTGAATATGATCTAAAGAGGATTAAAAGTACTTGTTCATTAAATTCTTATTTCTGGTAAAAAAGTTTGACTTTTATTATCACAATATTTTAACCAGTTTGTTTGCTATATATCACTATTAAATGACTTCATTATTTAAATTTGAAGTTCACTATAATATTTTAATTAAATAGAAAAAATATCATCATATAAATCTATTAATCAATTTAATATTAATTTAAATATTCATGATATTATTTTTTTAGAAAAAAATTGATAATTGTTTACAAAATGGTGTTTCATATGCTTTATACAATGTACTGTTTAAATTAGTGTTTCTCAAATTCTTTTCAATAACAGAATAGCAATTATTTTTCAAACATTTTTCAGTATTATTTTGGTTATATTACATATTTACACAGACATTCAGCTTATATGAATAAAATAATTATATAACACAAAGTAAAGAATTTGTAGCTAGATAAGAAAAAGTGATAAAGATGGATAAAATCAAAATAAAATAAATATCTGAAAATGTATGCACAGTGCATGTCTCATGTAAAAGAGTTTTCTAAACCCTGTCAGAGATTAGAGCTAGTCCCACACCTTCAATTGAATAACATTGATAACATTTAGATAATTATCTAGTTAGCATTATAATTACTGATAGTAAATAGAAAATAATAGCCAAACACCCAAAATTACTTCAGGCCACTTTCCACGATTATATTTAATTAATTACAAAATAATTTGTTACAACAGGTTGGCACTAGGTGCCCCCTGTTAAGGGTGCAGTTGTCCATTTGTTCTTAATATAGAATAAATGTGTGTTGTGTTCTTACATCCATCTTTGTTGTCCTTTTTTCTCTTTGTTTTACCTTGACACAATATCTTTCATCAAATTCATATCCTTACAATTTTAAACATCAAGTAATGCTTTTGGATTATAANGAAACAGCATGAAACAGGTCAATAATCCTGGAATGTCTATTTGATTGTTATCTTTTTTAAATAAGTATATTATTTTTGTAACTCAATAATTATATTATTAGTGTCCTTTACTTCCCTTGATCATTGTTTTCTTTTCGTTATAATTTTTATTTGCATATGATTAATTTTACAATGAAAATAATAAAGTCATACTGTCATTGTTCTTATATACATGTAAACAATTCCAAAATCTTTTAAAGTATTGGTTGTATAAAATTTGTCTTTAAATGTTTGATTTCAAAATATCTAATAACTTTTCCCTTCCAATCTTTACAAATTAAATAATAGAAATAAATATAGTTGGTACAAATTGAAATATTTCAATAACTTAATGAGCAACAAGATATTCTTTTCTTCCACTAAGAATATTAGATGCTGAACAACTTGTGTGTATTTTTAAACTATCTGTAATTTAATTAAAGAGCTATAATGGTTCCAAAATAATTTTTGTCAGTTTTATAAATATTAAAAAAAAGGAGAGGGAAATGTGCAGAAAACTATTTATACTGTTTGATCAAAAATCACTTACTCATGCTACTTAGAAAAAAAAAAAAAAAAAACATACCTTTAATGAAGGACTAGGATCATCAGCACTTGGTCTACCATTTATTAGTGAAGTATGAATCTAAAGAAACATATAAGTATATGTAATAAATCAGACTATTTATGAAGCATTTCAATATTTATTTTCAAAATATAATTAATAATAAATACAATTTTAACTAAAAAAACAAAATTTTAATAAAAAATATACAATATAATTAACATTATGATGTATAAAAAGCATAATGTTAATTATAAAAGCACTTTCATAAAGTTATTTCTAGCTTCTTCTGTTTTAATGAAAGCAAAGAAGAAAACTCCAAATAACATTGTTAAGTTTTTGTTAGAAAGTTGCAAATATAACCTTTAATCTTGGAATCATCACACCCTCTACTCTACTGTCTGAGCATTGACCTAATTTGTGTGAACCCTGTTAAGGGTGCAGTTGTCCATTTGTTCTTAATATAGAATAAATGTGTGTTGTGTTCTTACATCCATCTTTGTTGTCCTTTTTTCTCTTTGTTTTACCTTGACACAATATCTTTCATCAAATTCATATCCTTACAATTTTAAACATCAAGTAATGCTTTTGGATTATAAGCAATATTCATAATAGCACACAAAAAAAATTAATTAAACAATTTCAAACTAAATAAAACATAAAATTATGAAAACAAGAATTTCATGTAAAAAAAAGCATATGTTTTGTTTAGTTTTAAATTATTTAATTTATAATTTGTGTGCATGATGTCTAAAATGTAAACAGTTTTTTTTGGAATTTTCTTCTTTGTCATTTGATTAAAACTGATGAAATGAAAAGTAACTGAGCAAAAGCTTTTACACATTCAATGTAATATTTTTAATGCAATGTAAGTTTGTTTTAATGTAATTAACATTAAGCTATATTTTTCATTTTGTAACTTATTTCACAAACATCAGTTAAATTTTTGAAAACTTTCAGTTTTCAAAAATTCAATCAATATGAAAATTTAGATCCAATATATATTTTCAGCAGAATTATTAAATGAAAAATTAATACATGCAAAAAATATAATAATCTTGAAATCATGATAAATTAATATTACCATTATCATGTAAATCATAATTAATAAAAACCACTGAATATTAATTTATTTCTTATATTGGGTTTATATTAATTAAATCTCTTTTAAGTTTATATATATATTTTTTTCTTCTAATATAAATTACACATAACTTTGTGAAATAAAATTATAAGTCTTTGAATAATATTTTTAGAAATGCCTATTTATTCAGTCTATATTAATATAAAAGAAATATATTGTACACCAAATGCACGTAACAGATATAAAGAAATGTTAAAACACATACAAATATTTTCATTATTTTCCAAAAATATCTTTGTCAAAAATTAATTATTAATAATTTCCAACAACATCATTTATGAAAATAATTAAAATATTTGAGTGTATTTAATAAATTAGTTTTTGTTTAATTCTTTAATAGTTATATTTCATTGTCTTAAAATACTGTTCTCTTTCTTTTTTGTTCCTATATTAAAATATTAGATAATTTTATTTAAAAAGCATAATAATAAATACTATTATAATGAATTTCACTTAAAAATATTTTTTCAGTTAACTATTTTTTTCCATTGTTTAATGAATATCTTATAGAAGACAAAAAAGGACTTACATTTTATTAGAATATACTGTGTATTACAATAATTTGTGGAAATCCAAACAGCTTGGGAACAAGATGAATCTGGATTTTTGAATTTTCTGTATGTAAAATGATAAATTAAATTAATAAATCAGCAATAATGTCTAAATTTTTGAGAATTGACTGCAGTAGTTTTCAAAGGGATAAATACTTTACAAATTTAGCATTAATTTTTTTAATAAAAGAAACACTTGACAGACAAAGGAAAAAAGAAAAGTGTCTTAAAAAAAACTAAATATATCTGACAGCAAACAACTGTAATTATTGATTGAAAATGTCTGTTAAACAAGTAGAGAGAATTGAAAACAACAGCTATAACTAATATTGATTTAACTGAAATTAGAAACAAATGAGCTAGAAGAACATAGTACTAGTATCCCTGATAATATGTATAATTTATAATTGAAATACTATGACAGTAAGAAAGCAGAAATACTATTGACTTGATATAAATATTTCCAAAATATCAATATTTTACAATAGATAATTTTAGAAATTTAATATAACAGAATCTAAATGAGAGTTTTATTAGATCAAAAATGTTATTTATTAAACTTTTTTATATGAGTAAATTCTTCTTAGATTCATATTATTATTTTTTTTACAATGAATGTTTTCATATTTAAAAAAATAAAACTGTGAACAAAAATAGTGTTGAATTAAATGATATTAAGAGTAACATAAAATATAAATTTAAAAATCAGCATTTATTATCTAAATAATAGTCATAAAATTTATATATTTCATATATAAAGAAGTATATGCAATTGCCAATCATTCTATAATTTTTAACTAATTTACTTAATTTATTTAATTTTATATTGTTTCTAATAATTGTTATTTAAATAAGAAAAAATTTAATAATTTTAAATAATTTTGTAAGATTTTTTATGGATTAAATCAAAATAAAGCATTGTAAGAAACTTATCTAATTAAAAACTTATAGATTGTAATCTTCATAAGATGGAAATTATGGACAGCAATCTCCTGTGACATTTTAAATGATTTTGTGATAAAAATCAAATCTTTTTACCAGCAATAAGAATTTAGTGAACAAGTATGTTTGAACCTCATAGCATCAACTTCAGGTTACACAAAGATCGACCTCATAAAAAAATTTTAAATGGAATAAATTACTCCATTCCAAATTTTTTATCAAAAGTTCAATCTTCATGTAACCTGAATATGATCTAAAGAGGATTAAAAGTACTTGTTCATTAAATTCTTATTTCTGGTAAAAAAGTTTGACTTTTATTATCACAATATTTTAACCAGTTTGTTTGCTATATATCACTATTAAATGACTTCATTATTTAAATTTGAAGTTCACTATAATATTTTAATTAAATAGAAAAAATATCATCATATAAATCTATTAATCAATTTAATATTAATTTAAATATTCATGATATTATTTTTTTAGAAAAAAATTGATAATTGTTTACAAAATGGTGTTTCATATGCTTTATACAATGTACTGTTTAAATTAGTGTTTCTCAAATTCTTTTCAATAACAGAATAGCAATTATTTTTCAAACATTTTTCAGTATTATTTTGGTTATATTACATATTTACACAGACATTCAGCTTATATGAATAAAATAATTATATAACACAAAGTAAAGAATTTGTAGCTAGATAAGAAAAAGTGATAAAGATGGATAAAATCAAAATAAAATAAATATCTGAAAATGTATGCACAGTGCATGTCTCATGTAAAAGAGTTTTCTAAACCCTGTCAGAGATTAGAGCTAGTCCCACACCTTCAATTGAATAACATTGATAACATTTAGATAATTATCTAGTTAGCATTATAATTACTGATAGTAAATAGAAAATAATAGCCAAACACCCAAAATTACTTCAGGCCACTTTCCACGATTATATTTAATTAATTACAAAATAATTTGTTACAACAGGTTGGCACTAGGTGCCATCTCTTATTAAATTTAATAATTATAATTCAATTAAATAATTTAGAATATTCTGGAAGAAAAGAATCAGCCCGAGCAGGACTCGAAGCCACAACTCCCATTTAAAGTGTGGATGTGTTGCCAGTTAAACTACCAGAGCTTCCAGTCCAATCTCCTCTTACAGACATATTTAAATATGATATAACCATCCTCAGTTACTTATGGTGCCATCGCTCAACCCTGGCATGGTATATATACAAGTAAACAAACATCATGAAATAATTTTATTAGGTTTCATGATGTTTGTTTATGAAAATAATAGAATAGAAAGCATAGCTGATGCAGTAATTATGCAGTAAACTACACTTGAATTATAAATTATAGAAATGATAACACTAGATTTAGTTGAAGTAGCCAGTTTATAACTTAATGAATCTGGTGTTATCATTTGCTTGATGGCATAAATTTTAGTTTCTTCCAATATTTTACATAGGCTTACTAAAACAATTAAGAATTAAGTTACTTTATTTTTTTAGTGATGCATAATTTTGAAACAAATTGAATAAAATTATAATTTGGATTATCTAATTACTATTTTGATAAGAAAAAATGTCATGCATTAATCAAATGAAATGTTTGATATATTCATTTGCGAAGATCTTACTATTGTATATTGTCAGCATGAAAATAAAACAACTATTTAAATATATACAGGTGTTTGGAAAAAATCCACACAAGTTTGTGTAATGTAGTGTTTACCTTTGGAAAAAGAAAACTCTATAAACTAGGATTCAACTCTGGGTGTGCAGTGCAAGTTTCTATACAAGACTTTTGTTCACATTTTAGAGATAGTACTTTATGAAATTGATCAGCTAATCTGTATTTTTGCCTTTTACTATTTTTTATAAATGGCTGTCCTGAGAATTGCCCAAAAATCTTCAATTGGTCTAATTTCTGAAATGTTTGTAGGGTTATCCTTTTCAATGAAGAGGACATTTTCTTGTCGCAGGTAATTCAGTTTGGTTTTGTGTATTGGAAACTTGTTTATCTGACTAGAAGACATAATCTGCTTGAGAACAGTTCTTTTAAATGTAAGGAATTGGGCAACAGTGTATCAATGTATACATGCAATTAATTATTGCTAGGTATTGATAGCAAACCTTGATCTTCTGATTAGAGCTTGACTCGATCCTTTCAGTCACATTGCAATCCAAACCAAAACTTTGTCCTCAAATTTCTTTTTCTTGGAAAACTTTACATCATAGGTGTAGAGGAGATATCACTGGTATGAAATCGACCATTAGAAATGATCATCAAGAGCAAGTGGGTGAGTTAAGATTCTTCATTCAAAATGAAGAATTTTTCAAGGAACTTTTGCAATAATCTTCTGCACTTTGCCTGTGATCTTTATATGTCTGTTCTATCCAGAATTATATACTTCATTTTATATTTAATGTGTTTTTTTTTTAAACCTCTTGGAGCTAACTATGTGAAATTTTCAGTTTCAGGGCAATAGATTAAACTGAAATCTTGTCACTGTCTTTAAAAGTTGTCACCAATCTTTCCAACTTGTCTTTTGTTAGAATTTTTGCTTTTCTACCAGACACTTTTTCCTCTGTGAGCGGAAATGATACTTGATCAATTGCAAATTCCAAAAGAGCAACGCGATTTAAAATCTCTGTGCAACACGTAGTAATCACGTCTTGAAATGTTGGAGAATAAAATATATAATCTGCTTTGAAATTCCTTCATTTGCAAAATGGTTTACAGTAAACATTTTTTAGTGTTTTATTTACATGCAAAAGTTGTACACTCTTAGGTGTAAAGCATTTTCTTTTGTTACCATTTTGAAAAAAGCAGAAATTTGAATGCAGAAAAATATTTTAGAATGTTCTACAGCATTCCACGCAATTTCAAATTATTGCACATGCTGTGTAGTTAAAAATTAATGACTGTTAGCTAGAAATGAGAAATTTTGTGTGGATTCTTTCTAGACATTCATTATAAGCAATAAAACTCAAACTTTTTATAATTACTAAATCTTTAACTGCTGAATTATTGAAATAGTCAAGTTCTAGAGTGAAATTAATCCAGTAGCTAATGGTTTAGTAACTATTCAAATATTTAAAATTAACAAATAAAATATTAAATAATAGAAATAAATAAAATATATATGTAAAGATAAAATTACTGTATATAACAATATGATTAAGCAGTAAAATAAACAAAAATAAGAATAAAATATATTATTAAAAAATGATTAAATGTATCCACAACTAACAAAAGTAGTCCTATACATTAATTTCATGATAATAATAAAAATTAATAGTTTTCTTTAAGTCACTTTCAAAAACAGATTCATAAAAAAGATAGCACTGTCAATAGACATATATGTACTGTATATATATTTATATACATATACATATATACTTANATAGCATACGTACTGTATATATATTTATATACATATACATATATTCTTACTTTGCAAAGTATGAATCATTAGCAAAGAATAGATATAAATTAATGCAAAAACTTTCAATACTGAGACCTTACCATACTCTTATCTATTAAGTATTTCACATTTATAGTAGTTTAATTTAAATTCAATTATATAATCCAGACGTAGCTTATTCCCAAACTGTATCTAAAAAAACTATTATTATAAAGAAATCTATTCTTAGCAAGAATTATTTAAATACATGAATTTTTGAATGCTAAAATGAGAATTTAAGTGCATTCGTTGTTTATAAAAAAAAAAGTTTACATTAATTTTTTTTTTTTGTAACAAGTTTTCATTATAATTTTTATAGAATATTTACCTCTCCATTTTCAAGCGGATTTATTTTTGAATAATGCGAAGTACATACGACATCATTATCAGTTCTAAATTTCAGTTTACCAACATTAGGTCTAATTCCGTATATATCCCAGCAATCGCCGTCATGTATTACATAATATTGCCACGGTTTATAATGCAGACCGTCGATAGATCTTTCCAATATCCAATTGCCAGGACGAGGAGAAATGCCAGCCTTCAAAATTATATATGCAATTTGATATACCTGTAAAATAAAATTCATATTATAATTTTAAAGTTTAAAGAATTTTATGAAATTAATCAAGTCATAAAATAAAACTCTACCAATTATAATAATAATAATTAAAATATTTGAAGTTTGTTATTATACCTTAAGACTTACTTGCATATTATATAATTTCTAATTAACATACAATCTTTATCACATAAATTTGTAGTATCATACACAAGACAATGTAAAAAATTTCTTAAATGTAATTTAAAAAAAGTAAACAAAATGTAATAGATTAACTTGTTCAAACAAAACTGTTTAAATTATATTTCAACTCAAGTATAAACATCAAAATAGCTGATTAACTTTGTTGTTACATTTAATTTACTTTAACAATTATGCCAATAAGAAATCTCTTCATTTAATATGTAACAACTTAATTTAAAAACAGCATAGAGCATAGACATTTTGAAATTTTAATTGTTTTTAATTAATGGAATTGTTTTCTTATTATTGATACAACTAAAATACCCTACATTATAAACACTATATCATAGCCAGGTTACGTCGAAGACAACTAGTGCCGACCAGCGGAGGAACGGATAAAACCACCGAACGCCGGCAGTCGGTCACGGATTCACACCTCGCCAACACGTGGAATTTTCTTCGGGTTTTCTTCACGTTAGTAATACCTAACTAGTGGTCAGTTTTCCATAGAAAGATCATTTTCCCCTCAGCAGATCACCCACGTCACATTGCCAAACACAAATAAAATCAAACTAAACTTGAAGATGACTAGAAACAAATTATGAATTTCAAATTACATATGATGACCTCTGAACAAGAATGATCCATGTCAATAAATTCCTAATTTTGAGATCATTAACAACATTTTTAAATAATATTTCCCTTTTTTTTCTTTTGTTTTTTTCTTTTTGGGCCTGAATGCAACAACAAATTCAACTTGGATCTGTATCGCATTAGGTAAGCAGTTGCTTTTAAGTAAATTATCCGCATTAAGGTCATAACACCAAAAACCAGACTTAGATCACCCCTGCTATAAGATTATTACAAAGTCAGTGTAATATCTGAATTAGTTTGCTGAATAGTTTTGCTAGATGCTCCAATATCAGTAATTATTAAAGTGATACAATATTTTTGATGGTATATATTTTGAAAACAAATACACTACTGGGATCCTATGATAAAAAAAAAAAGTACTGTATAGGGAACGGTTTGTTTAAACTGCGCGCGTGCAAGATGGCGCTATCATCGTTTGGTACGACTTTCCTCCACATCTAGCAGCAATTTTTACGTCATCGTCTGTTGTCGTTTACAAATAAATGCTTGTTTTGTGCGTAAAGAATTTTTGCGCCGGCTATTTTTTTGAAATGTCAGTGTAATTTAGCAAAAAATGTGCTCAATTACACTGTCACTTTTTATTTAAATTTTGTTTTCGCAACGGAATTACTCCTACAGAAACGTTGAAAATGTTGAAAAAAAGCCTTTGACGACGATAGTCTATCAAAAACAAGAATTTTCGAGTGGTACGAGATGTTCGAGGAAGGCGGAGAAAGCCTCGAAGACGAACCACGCTCTGGTAGATCGTTCACTTCAATTGATGAACATGTCGCTCGAGTCAGAGATTTGGTTTTTTAACTCTTTCTGCACTAATAGGGTTTCTTTCAGCAAGCCCATTATGGGTTCAGCCAGGCTCACAATGGGACGGCCGGTTGGTGAGGAACGGAGACCGACATATCTTGTCGGACAACCCATCGAAAACTTTCTGGGGATTTTTCGACCCGTCCGGATTCGATCCTGGGTCCCCCAGAGCGGTAGGCTGCCACCTTGATCGCTCGGATAACCGGCCGTCTATGCACCAGGGCTGTCTGCTGATCGAACATGATGCTCGGTGAAAAGGGTTGGCATGTAGTGATTCCCGGGATGCCGCTACAGCTATATACAGTCGCCATTTCTCCACAGACAGGAGAGGGATTAATCTGTAAATAATACCCGATGCCATTCAGTGGTCCAGTTGCAATGACAACGACACCACGGCGTGCAGTTAATGGCATCCTCGTTGTTGGTTTCCTTGTGTGCAGCCAGACTTCGTGCAACCTGTTGCGAATGGTTTGGGTGGACACAGATGCATCCGTTGACGGCGATAAGTGACTTCGGATATCATATACCGTGGCAAACGGGTCCCAATGGGTCGTTCGGCGAATCTGCCAGTCTGTGTACTCTGTGCGATCCATTCCCCCTTCGGCATGTTTACAGATGTTCTGTGTCCATTGTGTCACATTGCTGGATGGTACTCACGCATTGCAAGTGCACGCATCGACAAACTGAGGTCGCACAGCTCCAGGACATAGTCTCGTTTCCCAACCGTTAACTGGTGGTATTCAGCTCGTTGTTGTCTCTAAGCTTCTTCAAAAGTTTGGCTGCCGCAAACCGTCGCTGATAGTATTTGCAGTCTGAGCCGACCTGCTGATCTTTATATACTGAAACTGGGTACTATATGACCCGATGCATACTCAAACTTAATCATTTACATATCTCTATCACTTCCATTGGTCCTGCAATGTGCATGTGGCTAAGCACATTCCTTCGTGGTATTACAATTTCACTTTTGAGTGTATTTTAAAACCCCATAGACTGGAATATTATTGAACACAGGTCATTTAAAACTCACAAAATGGATAACAACCTTAACAATAAACAGTTTCATTTGTAAACCAACAAATTAATTAATGATATACTTGTACTGAGTGGTAAGATATAAAATATGTATATAATATGAGAAGGGTGACCACTTCTCAGGATTTAACCTAGTCTACAAATTTTCGAACTCATCTCCGGTCTCTGGTCTTGTGGTCTTTAATAAGCATTAATAAATAAAATCATCTCTGATTGATTGGGTTTACTTATCCTCAATTAGTGAAGATCAGCATGAAGTTCTTAGTCACATGACCAATCAGTATGGTCACATGATGGTACAGTCACTTGACAAGTAGTCTTCGATTTATAAAGGGTACGATCGTAAAGTGGGACGAGTTAAACGAGAAGACATCACGTTATTCTTAGTTCTGTGAACATTTTGACCGATTCGTTTACAACAAAATGGCTGTTTCTAAAATCAATGTTATGAATGTTCTTAGTGCAGTCTTATCCTTAATATTTTCCTCAGACTGCTTCAGTGGGTAATTATTTGTGTCATTCAGCTTTTAATCCACAGTTTAAACATTCGAGTGAATTTAGAAACACCAATATCTCCGGACGCCATTTTTCTTTCCAATGTAAACTAACTGATACCTTCGTGAATTTCGTTAGTAACGTCATCAAAATAGATGATGAGCATTGAGTTGAATCAGTAATTTATGACTACTCGTTAGTAATTCGTTTAACTCGTAGAAACGTTTCCAGAGTTTCGGAGTTGGCCACTCTAGCATATGACGTAGAAAACTTTAATCTATTAACTGTATAATGCACAGTACTTACTAACAGAAATGTAAAACTACATGGATAAGAAATTAAAAAACAACCAATTTACTATAGTGTAGGCCTATATTAATAAGAAAAGATAATCAGTATATATACGTGCACAACAATAAAGAGATTTGCTTAAAAACATAGAAAAATTTACAATAAGAAAGTAGTAATACTGAGTAAATCTCAACATATTAGAGATGTTGCGGCCGACGTTTTCAACGCGAAAACGTGTACGTCGGACGTTCAGCGTCGCCTTCTTGTGAGTCTAGAAGTTTGACAATGGCGTTTGTAACCTCGAGCATAATTCCACAGACGTTCCAAACGCCATTGGCAAACTTCTAGGCTCACAGGAAGACGGCGCTGAACGTCCGACGTACACGTTTCGCGTTAAAAACGTCGGCCGCAACCTTTCTAATAGAAATATTGCGGCCTTCCTGTCTCGTCTATAAATTGGAGAAATGATTGACTATTGTTACTGATGTTAGGAAGGGATGTTTGTATAGGTATGATATTGACATTATAATGTCTCTTCCATCTCCATTACATTCGACACGCATATTTCATTTCTTGACACTCGGGGTGTTTTCAAAATGTCTACACGTGTTCTAACCTTTTAACCTATTGTATTTGGAATGTAACTTGAGAATTTCCCGCACACACATATTGTTTTGTTAAAAATGTATTGAATTTTTGGGGCATAAATATAAATTTTTCTTGTATATACATTGATCGGAAAACGTTTTATTGAGAGATATGTACTGTACATTCTGTGAAGTTTGTGTATTAAATTATAATGAAATTGTATATTTATTCTGCTTCAATTGTATTAAGAGAAAACTTTAAGTTATTTAAATATTATCAAATAACCACATATTTTAACGAACTCGAAAATAATAATATTTTCAATCTTACTTGTCTTAAATCTAAAGTGATAGTAATCCATTCATATTGTTTTCCATTTTGTAATGTTGGACTTTGCCACCAATTATTTGAACCATCAATTGCATTGGTAATTGGATGACTCTTAGTTGGAAGTTTGGCATCACATACTCCACATTGCGGTTCTCTGAAATGAATTAAATTTAACAAATTACATGTGTACAACATAACAATTAAAATACACTTTTGGAAATACATAATTTATAATCATAATGAGATTTTTTAAAAAAATAAACCTTTAGTATTTGGTTTAAGTTCATTCATTGACTTTATAGACCATTTTATATGTAATTTTATACTGTATACAGGTTACATACAATACCAAGTATACAAATAAGTACAACAATTAAATTACTGTTAAGTATCGAGCACGTAGCATTAAATCATTCTGTATTAATTTTTTTTAAAATATTTAATCAGAAACGAAGTTAAATATAAAAATTAAATATGTAAATAACCTATTACGAGTGTGTGTAGCTCATTTAATTAGAATATGCACTGTACTGTACCTGTAACATTTTATTTTTATTGTTTTTAAAGTAAATATTTATTGGATATTCGTTCTTAAAGAATAATTTTGAATTTATTAAACAAAATTATCTAAAACTTGCTCTTTTTTTTAAAACAGTTTTAACTTTATTATGCGATTAAATTAAAACACAAAAGTTATTATTCGAAATAATAGTGTATGCCTGAGAATAACTGGCATATCTATATGCTCTCCTGTAGATTTAAATAATTTTAAAATTAAATTACGTTTTAAAATAATATATTTGATATTACTTACTTTAAAATTCCATGTTCGACTAACTTACAATAAACTTCAGGTCCAATTTCACCACAAGTTGCATTAGCAATGATAATTGCATTCGTTGCCAGATTAAAAATGGATGGAAAGAGTCCTCCATTATCTGTTAATTTAAAAATATGATATTTAGAATTCGCTTACTTTTATTTATATTTATGTCTATTTATAGTTTTATTATATAAAAATTAATTTCGAAATTAAATTCTATTATTTTTTCCCTTCATTTTAAAGAATTATATTATTGTTGTAGTACCTCCTTATCTCATTATAGAAGTGAATGTTTATAATAAAACACGTTGCTATTATATTATTTTGATCAAAATTATAGGCCTAAAAATCGAAAAACATAAATAATATAAAATAAAACAAGAAACGGTAGGAAATTTTGATATACAAGATGTCAAAATTTCCTACCGTTTTATTTATCTGTCCATAAACATGTATAAATAAATGCATACAGATATCAGTGTCCGCTAATATAAGATTTGATATATCCTATAGTGTTCACGCTATATCAATTTAAATAATGTATTTCTTAGACCGCTTATTAAAATCAACAATATAACACTGTAATTTACGACTGATTGTCCATTATATTCATTCCGCAATCATCGTTAACAACTGATTATCAATTAACAAATTGATTGCGAGTCTACGCTTCTTTTATTGGGCTTCAATTTGAAAAAAAAAAAAAAAAAATCCAGCAACGAGTTGCTTAACTTTCCCAGCAAAATTTGGTGGCTCCATCTGTTACGATATTTTATTATTATAAAACTTTTTATATTTTTAATTATTATAAATTGACAAAAAAAAAAAATTAATTTTGACGATAGGAATGGGTTTTATACAAAATTGTAAATGCTAACAACGAATAAAATTGTCATTAAGTCCAACCCTACACGAGATACGACACACGATCCCTTTTTATCTCCTTATCCCCTCGACCTTTAACCACCAAAATTTAATCACATCAATCTCCCTAATACACAAACCTTCCTGTAAAATTTCAGAAATTTTCGACAAAAAGCACAGGAGTTATTAAGCTTTAAAGAGGGTGTACAAAATCTTGTCCCCCCCACACACCTATATACATACACACTTAACATCCATACATACAGAAAAAAAAACCGATATATATATATTTAGTACGTTAATAAGTACAGATTTAATCGTCTGAACAATATTATATTTTTAATTTTCATGTAACTGATTCATCATAGTTTACTTCTATATAAACCTGTAACGTTTGCTTTTCTGCAAAGATTTCATGTAATCCGGGAACAATAACCAAGAACGAGCATTTGTTTTACCGTGACTGCATCACAATGCCGAGCTGCAATTTTTAATTATTTTTAAAACTTTATTTCATTAAAAATATATGTTCTCCACCTCAAATTAGTAGTGGCTTGCCCCTGTACATCATATTTTGCCTGTTAGCAACTGAGTCTTTGACGGTCATCTATCTAATTCCTTTCGGAGGGGAGGGACTTTTGAATTGAATTGAAATAACGTAACTTCCGGTCCAAAGAGGTATATAGTTAATCGGGACCTCTTGCCTTAATCTTTCTATATGTAGTCTCGACTTTCATCTATCTAACTAACTCCTTGCTCGAGATTAAGGAAGGACAGACAGTGGGAATTTATGTCTACAATTTATTCAAATTGAAGCATAATTAGAAGCTACTTTATTATAGTAAATACATTGGAACTTCTGTATCTGCGAATTCAACCGAAAGCGGATCAAAAGTGTTCTGAAAAAATCTAGAACATTACAAAAGAGCAAGGCATTATTTTAGATGGAGAGCATATATTTTATATTATATAAAATGCGTTCTTCTTTGAAAATTAATGCTCTTCCATATTATATTATTTAATAATATGATTTAAATACAAAAATAAATGTAAAATAGCATAAAATATATAATGCAAACAAATTGCTGGAACAACGCTTAGCCTATAAAATCGGTAATTAGAAACAATATTTATTCAATAATAGCGATTTTTTAATACATAATACATCCCTGTAAGAAGTTTTATAATTGAATTATATATGATTTTTTTTATACATGTTATTGTAGACGTTCGCATAAAATTTTCCAGGGGAAAATCTTGGAGACAAATAATTAAATCAATAAATTTTTATTTAATTATTTAATTTTTGGGGTTTTTTACAAACAGGTCATAGAATACAATCGACCCCCCTATAATACTGTTGATAATTCTGTGTTATATGAATTCCACGTTGTAAGAGTCACTTAGATTTTACAAATACGTGAGCCGTTCACAGCCCAGCACACGTATTTGTAAAATCTAAGTGACTCGTACAACATGGAACTCATATAACACGGAATAATCAACAGTGTTATAGGGGGGTCGACTTATTATTATAGTTTACTCCTATTACATCAGTCTCTCAATATATATGATAATCCTTCACCCATATTGTTGTACTATAGTTTTGAAAGAATATAATGATATATTTTGATATATTTATGACGTAATTAACTTTGAGACACGTCCTAATTTACACTAAAACAATTAAAACTTGGAGTTACAAAAATTGAAAGTTTCGTAATTAATTAATGAGATAATATATCGACAAACGATTGATATATCCTTCATCAGTTCCATGACATCACGCAATATTTGAATTAGAGCATTTATATTGAGTTTAGTAACTAAATGAATTATGAATAATTTTAAAACAAGATAATTAATTATAATTTTACTAATTTTTTGCAACTGATTTATTTTAAAATAATAAAACATTTTAATATTGTATTTTGTAATTCCCTAAAAACATTTGCCAATTAATTTGAAGTAATGCCTAAAATCACATTAGTTATTTTAGCTTTCAAGTCTTTTAACGATCGAGGTTTGGTTACATATACTATTGTTTTTACAAGTCTCCATAAAAAAAAAAAAAAAGAAAAACCCTAATGGAATCAAGTCTGGCAAACGTAGAGGCCAAGAAAATGATCCACCTCTTTCAATCTCTAAAAGCATTTGTTACTAAATAATTTTACTTAAAACTAGGTACATTAAGCTTTCTTTTTTACAGACGTTTTTCTATTACAAATGCTAATAAAGTTATAAATTTTTTAAATTGTACACGGACTTTATGGACATCCTGAACACCCTGTGTTTGTGTGTGTGCTTGTGTGTGTTTCGTTTAATATCTCAGAATAGGATAATAAAGAAACAAAATTTGGCACAGTAACTTGTATATAAGGAGCATTGATGCTATTAAATTTTGATAATTAAAATTCGAGGAGATAGGGCGATAGAGGGTGGAGTTATGTATCGTATCTCGAATAGGGTCGGGCTTAATTTAATGAAGATTTTACTCATTATTAGTATTTACGTATTTACGATTTTTAAAAAAAATAAAACTCGTTTCTATCCTCAAAATTAATCTTTTTGTCATTTTATAATAATTAATAATATAAAAGTTATTTTTAATAAAATCTCGTAACAAATAACTCCACAGATAATTTCAAATTAAATTAGCACAAAATTAAATGCTAATATATTTAGCACTTAATATATTAGCCGGAAAAGTTACGCAACTCGTTGCTACATTTCTTCTTTTAACTAATTGAATATCAAAATATATATAAGCAGAAGTGTACAGTACGTAATTATAATTTATTCTTCAATGCCTTGTTTTTTACACGTTACTTAATACAATAGAATATAGTAAATATGTTTTTATATATACATTTATTCAGTTTATATATACATTACTTTATTCCATGTAACAAACTTCTTATCTGATTTGATCGCTTCGTTATAGATATAATCAATTGTACTTATCATTCAACGAATGTAAGAGAACAATCCATTAATATTGTGTACATTATAACCTCAAATTAGATATAAATCATATGAGATATTTTATAATGTCTTATCGCTCATTTAATCTATTTTTATATAGCGCAGTTAAGTAGAATATATAAAGACCTACGCATTTTTGACACGCGCCATTACTAGTCGAACCCTATAATTTAATAATATTAGTGGGATATTGGTACTCTGATGCCTCGAGGAACGTGATTTTATTTGTGAAAATATGCAATCCATGATTTGAATTAAAAATAGATTTAAATATATGTATTTAATGCAAATGAGATCCTCTTTATATTTCCATCTTTAATATTCAAGATTAAAGATTACCAAGAATCTTCATCCTATTTAAACGTTCTTCGTCTTTTATTACCATTATTAACTTATTTTTGAATTAATAAATATAAATATATGATAAATTATTTAAATGCGTGCATTAATTTTTATGATAATACATGTATTTAAGGATTCCTACAACGTGAAATTCGTATAACGTGGAACGTATCTAGCGTTATAAGGGGGAGGGAGGTCTACTGTACAAGCATTCTCGGATGTTCTAAACGTCTTCCTGATAGAATATCTTATCTTTTGGTTCCTTTTTAATATAAAACGTACAGTACAGTGCGTATCTCTCGATGTAACGCTTTTCGGCCAATGTTTATATATTAAAAATTTATACTTAGATCCGAAAAAATACGGCTGTATTGTTTACAATGCAAACTATATTAACTGTTTGATAATAGAAAGCGACGAATTCTATATATTAATATATTCGTTCGCAACTTATATATATGAGTTGTATTGTGTTTTCAAAAATTAGTTGAGAGTTTTGGGTCGACGTTGTAATATAGTATAATTTTCCCATCTAAAATAATAGAAAACAATCTCCTTTTTAACGTTTACACCTGCAGAACGTCTGTTTGATTTTAGGGACTGATTACTGACTTTAAGAGAGAGATATACTATTGTATTATTACTGTATGTCTATACTATTGTATTATTTGACGGATAGTTTGAATAGAAAACATCATATACGTAACATAAAATAAATATTTGTACATTATAGAAGAAGAATTGATTGTAAGATTTAAGTTTGTTTGTTCATTTTATATATATATATAAGTCTATTTGTTTTATGGAACGTGTTAACAAATAAATCTTTTCAATCATATAATCCAAGAAGAAAGAAGAATTTGGTATTTATGAGATAGAATGAAGAATGAGACGAATAGTTTTTGCTGTCAACACTTTCGATGA